TATAAATATATAACTAAACTATTGTTGTATGTAAAATAAATAAGGTCTTTAAAATGTTTAAGAAGCTTCATTTAAAATTAAATTAAAATGTAGAGCCCCCCCGGACTGGTGGCCAGGACCCGGGCAGTGTGAGTGCCACTGAAAATCAGCTTGCGTGCTGCCTTTGGCACGCGTGCCATAGGTTGCCATAGGTTGCCTACCCCGATATAGAAACTCAGTTAATGATGCCGAAAGCCACAGTAACTTATGTGTGGATATTTACCACCAATGTTTTGGAGAATGTCGCTGATGCAGCTCCCCCTCAGGCATCCGTGGCTCACTCTTAAATGCAGGATGGGAGGATGGGCCTTAACCGGGTGAGGCTTCAGCAGAGGGGCTTCTACAGGACATTAAAAATACAGGGATGATGCCGTGAAACTGGCATCCCTCTTCATGATTCTCAGGAGAGATTAGTACTTCTGGAAACTAATCAGCTAACGGAAATGGAAGGAATTATTGGGCTCTAAACATGGATTGTTATAATTTATGTGCTGTCCAAATAACCCTGTAATATGAAGGAGGAGGGTTTAGAGCTGCAGAATTAGATGCTTTGCTTGTGCTTGACTGTATTTTTGGATGGAGTTATTCAGATAAAGAGATGGGTCAGATCTTCAGCTGGTGTATATCAGCATAGCTCTATCGACTACAGTGGAGTTGCGCTGATTTACCCAAGCTGGTAATCTGGCCATTGAACATTCATTTTAAACACTAGAAAAAAGCCAGTTCTGTGATGCCTCAAAGTGAAGTTTTCCAAGTTTTTTTTTAATACGATATTTATTATTTAATGCGCATTCTCCTGTTGTAATCAAAGCACTTCCGTTAGCAATAAATAAATGAGTTAATTGCCAACAGCCTTTTCTGTCACAGAAGTTCAGAGGACTATAGTGGGTGTTAGTGGTGATTGTCATCATTTAAATAGCTGGAAGTATAATTGCCACCTTCTGAAATAGAAATTTCAAGTCTTGCTAAAAACAGGAAACATAATTGTTTCACTGGAAATAGATTCCATTATGTTTTAAACTTGGCATGTATAAGAAAAAAATAACTAAAATTACTGGCCATTTATTTGAAAAATTACGAGTTTAAAAAAACCTTTTTGTTTGTGGTTATTTTAAATTTAGAACAAGCCTTTGTGATCTGTCTAAAGCTGAGATTAAAGGAATCTCAGAACTGTATGCATCCTGTATTTAAGCATGTATTGTGCAAGACATATATTGCTCAGCTTATTAGAGCTTCATCTGTCGTGTGTGTGTGTGTGTGTGTGTGTGTGTGTTGAGAAGTGTCAGGATACCAGTAACATTCTGGTGAGGAATGTTGTCTGTGTACAATATGGCTGTCTGTCTGAATATCCGTGTTGGAGCAGAAGAAAAGTTGCTTACTTTGTCTTTGACTATTTGTCT